GAATCCCGCTCCTCCCCGCGCAACCTTTTTGCTCTTTCTATCAGAAAAAGAAACAACAAATGGGCCGGCCTGCTACGCGCCCCTGCGAGCGCTGACTTCTCCAATCGGCGCTAATGGCGCCGACTAGGAGCTCCCGTGGCAACGGACTGCGCCACTAGCATTTGCAAACCCCAACCGGCCTTCATTTCAACTTTACATGTAGATGGCCCTTTTTTATGGCCATCGAACGACCTGACCGCCACCGCCGAAACCGCGGCCCCTTGAGGATGTTCTACCCACCACCGGACTCCCATCATCGGTCTCCGTTGATTCATAGTCTCCCGACCCGGCAGGACACCCTTCACCACCGGTGAGCATCGCCACCACCCTTTTTTGACAAGTCAACGTGCTTTAACCCAAAACCGCCTACGATACTGAGCAAAACAACTCAGGGGCAGATTGATACGGTTTGACAGAGTTGAGGGAGTGATTCAACCAGTTTGGGAGTCAAGAGGGAATTTGATCTATCAAAGGGGATTTGAAGGGGGAAGTACAATTTCCTTTTTCTTTTATCATTTTCAAACGGGTTGAAGCCCGTTCCCGCAATGCAACCTGTGAGGCATGCCGAACCATAAATGGCTTTATTTCAACTTTACATGTATAAATGACCCTTTTTTAGAGGTATATGACTTTATTCATCTAATGTACAATCACTAAATTGTGATGAAATGATGTGCGAGGAACATGCAAATTACTTGGATGAATAAAGTTGGTTACCCGTTAAACTAGTATTTGTGTATGTGCAATGTAGAAGTATGTTAATATTAAGAAATATAGAATATTAATTATACTAGAGGTTAATATTAAGCAAGATATTAATTGCATATTGATATTAAGTACTACTACTAGGATATAATTCTTTGGTTAAACCGACGTTAATATTAGGTATGATATTAATTAGAAGAGGATGTTAAACATGTTAAGTGCTAAATACCAGAGCATTTTTTGGCACGGTGACCATGGTACACAATTATAGAGAATTTTGAACGAAATTACCGTTGGCTAATTTGTTGATTTGCAGCAATTAAATCAGTTAAAGAAAGAGGTACGACAATCGAGAGATACTTTCCTTTTTTTAAAGGAGAGATTAATTTAATCGAGAGATACTTTCATTTTTTGTAAAATGGAGAGATACATTCAATAAGAAGAGAGATATTTTTCTTTATTTTGGAGAGCTCAAAAGGAAATAGAAAAAAATGATGAATTCTTTATATGCCACTAAATTATTTCCCCTATCCTCATACGCCATTGAAAATTTCCCTCTTCCAAATATGCCACTCAAAATTTGCATCGTGTACAAATATGCCAGTACCGCCAGTTTTTTTTAAGAAAAAGGGTTTTTCCCCGCTTTGTATTACAAAGCAACCATCCGATACAACCAACGATAGGTGCTGGGGCGAAAGCAGCACAAGCACGCCCAAAAGAAAAGGAAAAAGAAAAAAGGAAAAGAAACAAATGCCGATAACGGCGGATCGACAAAAATGATGGAGCCTCGTGACTGTTGCGTCCACCGGAGATCGCCCACCAAGCTCCGAGACTCCGAAGCGCCGGTACCAATCAACAACTCCAAGAAGGAACGCGACAACGACGACGCTGCTGCCAAGGGTTTCCCCCGATACGCGGCGAGGAGAGAGGAAAGGGTAGCCCCGACGCCCTCCAGGAAGGTCTGGCGGCACCCTCAACCGCCACCACGTCGGTGTCGGCCAAGCCAACAGGGATTTCTCCCGATCCCAGCCTCTACCTCATGCACTTCGAAGCTCGCCACCAAACCAACCACCACCCAGCGCGAACACGGACACGAAGCTTCCCACACTGTCTCACCACAGCACCGCGAAGATGGTCTGCACAACGAAAAAGAGGAGTCGGGACTAGTGCAGCAGCACCGTCGGCATACGGGAGGGCCCCACCTCCACCGTCCACGACGGTAGCCGACTGGACGCCATAGCAGGAGCCTACCGGGCCCGTGGCCCCACAGGCCCGGCCGGGCCCTCAAGGTGTGGATAGCTCCCGCCTCCGCGCAGCAGCTGGCACGTTGTCGGCACCACTGTCCCAGTCCAAGCCGCTCCCCTAGCTCCCCATACAAAGGGCGTCG